AGTGTGACAGGAGAGGGACAGCAGTGTCTCCAGTCCAGTCAGTTGTCTCGTGTGTTTATGCTGGTGAAGTGCTTATTTTTAAAGTTGAAGAATAGCAGCCACACTAACTTGATCTGATAACGACAGCAGTGGTACCAGCAGCTATGGGCTGCTCTGCTTTCCTGTCTTTCAGACAAGCCCTGTCCTGCAGACGACAGTCCTCCACCCCCTGTGATTAAATGGGAGTTGGGGGGGGGGGCGTCTCTTTAATTCTAATAGAGAGCGTGGGGAACCCCAGGACGTCCAGCAGGAACAGGTGCTGGAAAGGGCAGCAGTGAAACAGGACACCCAGGGTCTGTTTATGCCTCAGGCTCTCGTAACAATGACTCATGCTGGGAATTCTGCTGGCCTGCTTCCTCACGGACGACACAGCTCCTGCAGAATTCCAGCGAGAGTGTGTGTGCGTGTCGGCGCAGCATCGGAGATCTGTGAGAGAGGCAGTCTTTATTATCCCTGAGAGGGCACATTGTGTTACAGTAGCCTTGTTGGTATACAGACGGACAGAGAAAAAACCACGACAGGAACAACAATATACACCCTTCTTTGCATAGAAAGTCCAGTGTTAAGTAAGGATACGGCTACAGGAATGAATGAGAACTTCAACCTGTTGGTTTTTGGAGTTGGGGAGCCAGAATCTGCATTCTGATGGGAGTAACTGGACATTATTGAACAAGGGGTGTGAAGGATCGTCACGGATGGATTCTGCTTTATGTAAAACACATGCATGATGGTGGACGGGGCAGGAAGATCAGCACCAATGACCTTCGGAGATACAGTATGTGGGTTTGAATTCACAGCACAGACCACAACAGTCACCCCCAGCCACTGCCTAAAGGGTTAAATCCTTCTGCCTGCTGTTTCTAAATCCACGCTGCCCTTTCCCATGAAGCTGTGGTGGACGTGCTGGGCGGCCGAGCGCCTGCAGATGGGCTTTGTGTCTGTGGGGCTGTCGAGATTAGGATCTCAGTGCTCTAGCTTGGTGACCCTCCTTTCTCAGCAGTGACCCAATCAAGACCCCCCACCTGCTGGTCCGGTCA